TAGGCAGTGGTGGAGGTGAGGGGGGGAGGGAGGGAGGGGAGCAAAGATGTGGTGAATAAAACAGCAATAACCACAATAACAACCAGAAATCCTATCACCCTTCAAGAGTAATTGCATGCCAAACAGACAATGGTCTATGCGCTTTATAGCCAAGGATTTGTTATTCTGCACAGTAGTTCTAGAGATAGTTACTATTATTGTTTCCATTTCACTGATGAGGGCACTGAGGCCCAGAGAGATTAAGGGACTTGCCCAAGTTCACAGAAGCAGGAAATGGCAAAGCAGAGATAGGAACCCAGGCAGCCTGACTCAAGAACTTCCACGAACTTACACATTCAAGAACTTACACATTGTGATAATTAATTATACTTAGAATAAGTAGTTAACGCAGTATAATTAGTATATGGTATAGCTTATAGTATAATTATACTAAAATATACGACAAGCATTTTGACTCCAAATTCCAAGCAAATGATTTCCAAAAGTATTTGACAGTGATTGTATGCAGCATGAAGTGTGTGGACTTTGTGGCTGCAACTTTCCTTGCGACAACCGTTCTCGAAGCTTTCTTATTCATTTGCTAAGCACTAGTTACGAAGAACAGACACTGTTCTACAGCTGGTTATACAATCAAAAGATTGTAGAATGTGAGGAACAAAAGTCACCAGGCCCCCTCTAGTCCAGTGGTTTCAAATCTGGCTGTGTATTCAAGTTACTAGGGAAGTGTCACAAAGGCGCGGCTGCCTCCTGACCAACTGAATTAGGATCCCTGCAGGTGGGGTTTCCTGTTGGTGCTAAAGTGCAGCCAACCTCAATGGCAAAGAAAACCAGGAACAGAAAAGTAGCCTGCCTAAAGTCACAGAGTTAGAAATTTCTAAAAGAAACTTTTCCTTAGTTTTTGAAAACCTTTTCACTACCCCACTAAAATTATTCCAGGTGGTTGGGACTCCATTCATTCTACAAATACTTAGGAAGAGACTGAAGACCATGACAAAGTTAGTTAGTGGAGAAAAGTCCGTAAGCAGTCCCAGATACCTGGCTTAATAGACAATCATCACCCAAAGTATAACAGAGCTCCAAAATAAACATTTTCCTGTCATGTAAGTGATCAGACTGTAACTGTTCATTCACCAGGTCTGAACTTATTTGGACAAGGGCAAGTCAGAGGCAGCATTGTTTGGGGAAAACAACAATTAGATTTGGACCCATTCAAGGTTGGATTCAGACACATAGATCAATGGAACAGGATAGACAGCCCGGAAATAAACCCACATTTATATGGTCAATTAATGTACAACAAAGGAGGCAAGAATTTATAATGGGGAAAGACAGTCTCTTCAATAACTGGTATTGAGAAAACTGGACAGCCACATGCAAAAGAATGAAACACAACCACTTTCTTACACCATACACAAAAATGAACTCCAAATGGATGAAAGGCCTAAATGTGAGACCTGAAACCACAAAGCTCCTAAAAGAAAATACAGGCTGTGATGTCTTGGACATCAGCCTTAGCAACATATTTATGGATAGGTCTCCGAGGGCAAAAGAAACAAAAGCAAAAATAAACTATTGAGACTGCACCAAATAAAAAGTTTTTGCACAATGAAGGAAACTATTAACAAAACAAAAAAGCAAACTTTGGAGTAGGAAAAGGTATTTGCAAATGATATATCCAATAAAGAGTTAATATCTAAAATATATAAAGAACTCATACAACTCAATATCAAAAAAACCTAAATAATCTGAATAAAAAGTGGGTAAAGGACCTGAACAGACATTTTTCCAAAGAAGACATACAGATGGCCAACAGACACATGGTAAGCTGCTCCACATCACTCATCAAGAGGGAAATGCAAATCAAAGCCATAATTAGGTATCACCTCACACCTGTCAGAATAGCTAGTTCCTAAAAGACAAGAAATAGAAAGTGTTAGCGAGGATATGGAGAAAAAAAAGGAACCCTTGTGCCCTGTTGATGGGAATGTAAATTGGCTCAACTAATGTGGAAAACAGTATGGAGCTTCCTCAAAATGATTTAAAATAGAAATATCTTATGATCCAGTAATTCTACAACCAGGCATTCACTCCCCCCAAAATGAAAACAGTAATTCAAAAAGATATATGCACCCCTATGATTAGTGCAGTATTATTTACAATAACCAAGATGTGGAAGCAACCTCAGTGTCCATTAATAAATCAATGGAAAAAGAAGATGTGGTGTGTGTGTGTGTGTGTATATAATGGAATATCTGGGGCCATAGAAAAGAATGAGATCTTGTCATTTATAACAACATGGGTGGACCTTGAGGGTGTTATGCTAAGTGAAGTAAGTCAGAGAAGGACAAATATGATTGATATGCATATTATGCATGTATATACATTGTATATACATTATAATTTCATGTATATATGGAATCTAGAAAACAAACAAAAAGAGAAACAAACTTCTAAATACAGAGGAAACACTGATGATTGCCAGAGGGAAGGGGGTTGGGGGATGGGTGAAGATTTTAAGGTGACGGATGGCGACTACCCTTGTGATGAGCGCTGAGTAATGTGCAGAATTGTTGAATCACCATGTCGTCCACCTAAAACGAATATAACATTGTGTGTCAACTATACTTCAATAAAAACAAATAATAGAGACCCAGGTTTAAATCTAGCACTTTGAACCACTGGCAAATTCATTCATCACTCTCAACCTCAGATCTGCATCTGCACAAAAGGGGACAGGACCTCCTCTGCTAAAAATTCAATCACGCCATGTAAATAAATGTTACCAGCATAGTTGATTAGCAGAGACGAGTCTTACTCCTATACCTGCCAGTGCCCAGGAATTGGCATAGCCTTCGTCTCATCAGGAATGCCCGGCAAAACTGTCTTCCTCCCTCAGGAGTATGCAGGCTGCGTTCACGCTCTGATTTGCATCCATGCCCTATTTCAGACTTACACGCCTCCTTCACCACAGGGTGGTGACAGCGGGAGGGTGACACCCTCAACGAATGCACTGAAATGCCACAAGCACTGAATGTTAAAACTCAGAATCAAATGTCCTTGTAAGTTTGGAAACAATTACACGCAGAGCTTTCAATGTCTAACTAAGCATTTTCATAGACAAACATTCTAAGGGGATGTATTTTATTTCCTCAATTGACCAAACCACACGGGTTTTTAAGTATGCTCATGAGGAAAGCCCATCTCTTCCTTCATAACTCTTCAGTTTCTAGGACATTGCTATGTACCTTATAGAATAGTAACACTTTTTTTCTTGTTCAGTCACTGGGAAAATTTACTCCTTCAAAATCAGTTTCAACCAGTGCAGCCGAAAGGTCTTACTGTTTTAAGTGCAGTGCTCACTGCAATGGAGGAACAGACTTACGGGCCAGTGTTGACCCACCATTTGGTGCTAGAGGCACATGAGGAATTTTAATGGTGCCCACGTGGGCCGTATTGGGAGATAAGGAAAAGATTCCACCACAATTCTCATAAATTGAATATAATTCTACTGAATCATTTTAAATTCCCCACTGTGGTTGCTCTATAAAATATTTCCTCCTAAGTCTAAAGTAATACTCCTAATGTAAGTATACATCCTATAAACACGTTTTTCATGTAAAATCATGTGCCATAGGTTTTTGTGAACAGGTAATTCCAAACTATAAAAACAAATGTCGTAGTGAAAACATTTCTAAAATATGGGTGGCATATCAGAAGTTCCACAGGACACTAGATATTACACAAAATACATAAAAGAATACATTAATAATAAATAAATAAAGGTGGGGTATATATGAACAAATGATGTTGAGGAAATATGAAGTTAATCAAAATTAACAATTCTTATTTATTGATTTACTGTTTATTTATTGTTTTGAGAGAGAGAGAGAGAGAGAGACAGAGCACGATCTCAGCCGTCAGCACAGAGCCCGATGCGGGGCTCGAACTCACGAACCGTGAGATCATGACCTGAGCCGAAGTCACTCAACTGACTGAGCCACCCAGACACCCCAATAAGTCTTTTTTTAACTGTGTTTTTATAACTGCAAGTGTGTGTGTGTGTGTGTGTGTGTGTGTGTGTGTGTAGGACCAGAATGTTTATGTCTTCCCAATATGTGTATGTTAAAGCCCTAACCGCCAAATAACTGTATTTGGAGACAGGGCCTGTAAGAAGGTGATAAAGCTTAGATGAGGCTCTAAAGGTGGGGCCCTATCTAATAGTAAGGAGACCCTTATAAGAAAAGAATGAGGCATCAGAGCGCTCTCTCCTGCCTTCTCGCCCCCCAAAGAGGCCACGTGAGCACAGAGGACGCTGGAAGCTGCCTGCAAACCAGGAGAGCTCTCACCAGAAACTGAACCTTGTTGGCCTTGATCTTGGCCTCTCCAGCCTCCAGAAGTGTGAGACAATAAATTTCTCCTATTTAAACCATGCAGTCCGCGGTATTCGGTATGGCGGCCCTAGCAGGCTACTGCAATATGAGACAAGCCACCCACCAATCGGGCCAAAACGACCAATCGAATCACTAGCAAGTAAATGGACGAAGTTTATGGCTGAATCTCTCAATGCATGGATCCCAAACAGCTAACACCGTGGTCTCTCTCCAAGGCTCCGAGAAAGCCTAAACAAACAAGAGGCTTTGCATCCGCCCCACCAGGAAGGTGAAGCATCACAAGGCTGAAAAATGTCCCTATTAAAAATGTCCTTTTCCAAAAAGCTGACCTCTATACTCATTAAACTTTCAGAACGAAAACAAAATCGTCCCCAGACGAAAATCAACAAAAAGCCTTCTGCTTGTGAGCCCTCGCCGCATACAAGGCCCCAGTCCCTAGCAGGTCCACTGGGCCTCCAGCTATTGACCTGCTGAGGGCCTCAGGCCTCGCCCACTTTACAAAGGCACACTAGACGTGGGCCACGCAGGGCCGGTGGTCGTCAGGCTCTGCGGTTCCAGGCGCCTGACCGGCCCCCGGCCGCCCGCACACCCCAAGAGCCCCGCGCCTACTGCAGTGCGCCTCGTCGCTCCAGTCGTTGCAGTCGTTGTGGCCGTTGCACCGCAGCTTCCCGGGCAGGCAGATCCCGCTGGTGCACAGAAAGCTCTCGGCCGCTCCGCACAGCGCTGAAACACAGGGGCGGGAAGACGGCGTCAGAAGGCTTGTTCCTTTAAAAGTAGGGGAAGTAGGGGCGCCCGGGTGGCTTAGTCGGCTAAGCGTCCGACTTTCTCTTGGGTCATGATCTCGCGGTTCGTGGGTTCGAGCCCCGCGTCGGGCTCTGTGCTGACAGCCAGCTCGGAGCCTGGAGCCTGTTTCAGAGCCTGTGACTCCCTCTCTCTCTGACCCTCCCCTGCTTATGCTGTCTCTCTCTCTCTCTCCTAGAAATAAATAAAACATTAAAAAAAATATAAAAGTAGGGGAAATAAAGAACAGAGGGAAAACCTTCTTCCTTGGCTCTTCAACGGATTTGTTTCCACATTCCCTCACCGGGCTTCCTGTGGCCCTCTAGAACAGGAGTGGTGAAATTACCTGCCAATGGGGCGCCTGGGTGGCTTAGTCGGTTAAGCGTCCGACTTTCGCTTAGGTCATGATCTCACGGTTCGTGGGTTCGAGCCCCGCGTCGGGCTCTGTGCTGACAGCCAGCTCAGAGCCTGGAGCCTGTTTCAGTCTGTGACTCCCTCTCTCTCTGACCCTCCCCTGCTCACGCTGTCTCTCTCTCTCCTAGAAATAAATAAAACATTTAAAAAAAAAAAGAAAAAAAAAAGACATTACCTGCGAGGGTGTTTGCCTGAGAAACGCAAAAATAAACTCAGCCCTAGGCTGGCTCAGAGCACCAGAGGGGAGCCTTACTGATTGCACCACTTCGGTGGGAAACATACCAAATGTGAGTATTTTTCTTAATAACTGCAAATTATTTTAAAAAGTGCTGTTAGTGGAACAAACATTAAAAAAAAATAATAAAACAGCCCCCCTCTCCTTCTAAATTGCAACATGGGGCACCTGGGTGGCTCAGACTTAAGTGTCTGACTTCAGCTCAGGTCATGACCTCAGGGTTGGTGAGCTGAACCCCCACATCCAGCTCTGTGCTGACAGTTCAGAGCCTGGAGCCTGCTTGGGATTCTGTGTCTCCCTCTCTCTCTCTCTGCCCCTCCGCTGTTCGTGTTCCATCTCTCTCTCTCTCAAAAATAAATAAACATTAAAAAAATTAAAATGCTACACAATGTTGCACAGTAAAGTTACAGTAAAAAGAATCAACTGTCCTGTGCTTGAACCAGGCCTAGGGACACCCTGTCCTGTAGTGAAATATATTTACTTGCCTCAAAAAAATGCCAGTGAACTATATCAGAGTCTGTTTTGCCATAAGGAATGTGAAACATTACCTAATGATTTTTTCATTCTTTTCTTCAACATAGTTATATTTTAATATTTTTTTGCTTTTAGTATTGCGGTACTTTTTAAAATCAAAATTCAACAAATATTCAATCGTTTCAACATTACAGTAGACAGGTGTAAGATAAAAAGCTAGAGAGTTTTTTTTTTTTAAGGAAAATCATTAACAAAAGGAAAGATCAGTTCCTTTTCAAAATAAAATGGGTGTTAAAATAGACTTAAATATTTGGTAATGTGCATCCAATGCCTTTCAAATGTGCATGAGCTTTAACCAAGCATCTTATTTCCTGGACTTCATACAAAGGAAATCATTCCAAATAAGTGCAGGTTTTTATTTTTAAGGCTTTTCACACCATCATGATTTATAATGAAATGATAGAATAAGAACCATGTAATACTTGGGGGCTGGTTAAATAAATGTTGTTACCTTCATAATAAGAAATACTGTTACAGCCATTGAAAAGAATGCTGCAGAAAATACTTGATGTCTCGGAACAAAGTTCAAGGTAATTTCAGTGGAAAAACACCGTTTGGTACGGGAAAGAGCAAAATACAATTTGGTCCAGAAAGAAGTATATCAGCAGTTACTGTGATTCTCCCCAGTATTAGGATTAAAAGTAATTTTTATTTTCTTCATTTTATTTTGCTCTGTATTTTACAAATGTTCTTATAAGAATGGTGTCTGTTATTATTCAAGTATAATTGACACATAACATTATATTAGTTTCAGGTGTACAGCATAATAATTTAATATTTGTATATGCAGCCAAATGATCACTTCAGTCATTCTAGTTACCATCCATCACCAGGGAGAGTTACAGATTTTTTTTCTTGTGATGACACCTTTTAAGATTTACTATCTTGGCAACTTGCAACTATGCACTACAATGTTATTGATTGCTGTATATTACATCCCCATGACTTATTTATTTTGTAACTAAGTTTGTTCCTCTTGGCCCCCATTGGCTCCCATTTCCTTCACACCCAACCACCTTCCCCTCAAAAACTATTATTCTGTTCTCTGTATCTACATGTTTTGTTTTGTCTTCTTTGTTCCGTTTTTTAGAGTCCACATGTAAGTGAGATCACATGGTATTTGTATTTCTCTGTCCAACTTTCTTCACTTAGCATAATACCTTCAGGGTCCACCTGTCTTGTTACAAATGGCAAAATCTCATTTATTTTTTGGCTGAGTAGTATTCCTTTGTGTATGTGGATGTGTGTATACACATACACATATATACCACATTTTCTTTATCCTTTCATCTATCGATAGAAACTTAGGTTGTTTACATATCTTGGCTTCTGTAAATAATGCCGCAATGAACATAGGGGTGCATATATCTTTTCAAATTAGTGTTTTCCTTTTCTTCAGATGAATATCCAGAAGTGGAATTACTAGATCATGTGATAGTTCTATTTTTAATTTTTTGAGGAACCTCCATATTATTTTCCATAGTGCCTGCACCAATTTACATTTACACCAAAAGTGCATGAGGGTTCCCTTTTCTCCATATCCTTGTCAACATTTGCTATTTCTTGTCTTTTTTATAATAACCATTCTAACAATATGATATTTCATAGTGCTTTTGATTTGCATTTCCTTGATGATCAGTGATGTTGAGCATCTTTTTATGTGTCTGTTGCCCAACCGTATGTCTTCTTTGGAAAAATGTCTATTCAGATCCTCTGCCCATTTTTAAAATCAGATTGTGTTATGTTGTTGCTGTTTTGCTATAAAGTTGTATCAGTTCTTCATATATATTGGATATTGATCCCTTATCCAATACATCATTGAAAATATCTTCTCCCTGTTAGTAGCTTGCCTTTTCATCTTGTTGATGGTTTCTTTTGCTGTGCAGAAGGTTTTTAGTTTCAAGTAGTTTCACTTGTTTATTTTTGCTTTCGTTGCCTTTGGTTTTGGAATTTGATCCAAAATTCATCACTAAGACTGATGTCAAGGAGCTTTCCACCTATGTTTTCTTCTATACATTTTACGGTTTCAGGTCTTACATTCAAGTCTTTAATCTATTTTGAGTTTTTGTGTATAATGTAAGATAGTGGTCCAGTTTCATTCCTTAGCATATCAGATAACACATGGCTGTCCAGTTTTCCCAACACCATTTGTTAATGAGTGTGTCCTTTCCCCGTTGTATATTCTTGCCTCTTTTGTTGTAAATTAACAGACCATATATGCATGGGTTTATTTCTGAGCTCTCTATTCTGTTCCATTGATCCATGTGTCTGTTTTTATGCCTATATTGTACTGTTTTAATTACCATAGCTTTGTAATATAGTTTGAAATCAAGGAGCATAATACCTCCAGTTTCATTCTTTTTTCCTGAGATTGCTTTTACTATCCAGGATCTTTTGTGTTTTATACAAATTTTAGGACTGTTGTATTTCTGTGAAAAATGTCGTGGATTTTTGCATCTATGTTCATTAGAGATACGGGCCTATTGTTTTCTTGTTTCTTTTCTTTTCTTCCTTTCTTTCTTCTGGTATCCGTGCCTGGTTTTGGTATCAGGGTAATGCTTTGTAAAATGAGTTTGGAAGTGTCCTTTCCTCTTCAACTTTCTGGAAGAGTCTGAAAAGGATGTATATTAAATCTTCAAATGTTTGGTAGAATTCACTGGTGAAGCCATCTGGTCCTGGACTTCTGTTTGTTGTTGGTAGGTTTTTGATTACTGATTCATCTTCTCACCAGTAATTGGTCTATTCAGATTTTTTATTTCTTCATTATTCAATCTTGGAAGATTATATGTTTCTAGGAAACTATCCATTTCTTCTAGGTTATCCAATTTTCTGGCATAGAATTCTTCATAGTTTCTCAAGATGTTTTGTATTTCTGTGGTATCTGTTGTAACTTCTCCTCTTCCATTTCTTATTTATTTGAGCCCTCTCTCTTTTTTTTTCTTCATGACTGTAAAGATTTTTAAATGTTGTTTATCTTTTAAAAGATCAAGCTTTCAGTTATAAGCTCAAGTTACTTAGTGACTATTATTGTGTTAGTCTCTTTTTCATTTGTTTCTGCTTTGATCTTTGTTATTTCCTTACTTCTACTAACTTTAAGCTTTGTTTCTTTGTCTTTTTCTAGTTCTTTAGGTATAAGATTAGATTGTTATTTGGATTTTTCTTGTTGCATGGGGTAGGCCCCCTTGCTGGAACTTCCCTCTTAGAAACTGCTTTTATTACATCTCAAAGATTTGTATTTCCATGTTTATTGTCTTAAGGTATTTTTTTATTTCTCCTTTGATCTCGTCATTGACTCATTATATATTTATGTATGTATTTATGTGGGGTTATTTAATCTCCACATATTTGTGACTTTCCCAGCCTTCTTCTTTGATTTCTAGTTTCTTACTGTTGTGGTCAGAAAAGATGCTTGATGTGATTTCAGTCTTCTTTAATTTATGAAAATTTTAATTTATGGCCTAACATATAATTTATCTTGGAGAATATTCCATGTGCATTTGGTAAGAATGTGTACTTTGTTGCTTTTGGATAGAATGTTCTGTAAATATCTATTAAGTCTATCTAGTCTAATGTATCATTTAAGACCAATGTTTCTTTAATGATATTTTTGTCTAGATAATCTATCCATTGATGTAAATGGGGTATTAAAGGCCTCTACTATTTTGTATTCTTGTCAATTTTTTCCTTTAGGTCTGTTAATATTTGCTGTATATATTTAGGTAGTCCTTTGTTGCATGCATAATATTTACAAACATTATTA